TCATTTTTACAATGACTTTCTAATTCATTATTCATGTGAACCACTCTAGATTTTGAAGGAATATCCTTTTCATTAAAAAAATTTATACATGGTAGTTTTACAATATATTGCTTTCTATTCCAAAAGGCATTAGGAATATTAGAACAAACATTTTTTTTCAAATTTTAATTTTAAACTTGTTATTTTATTTTGAATATTATTATCATTTAATTGCTTAGTTATTTGAACATTATTTATTTCTTTAATAAGATACTTGGCTTGTTGCGTTTTATAATTAAGGACATTAATCGTTGAATATAAAGGAGGTTCACAAAATTTAAATATAATTTCCTTTCCAAAAACATTGGTTCTTATACCATCATCATGAACCATAAAATGATATAATTTTGTAATTAAAAGCGTTCCTAGAATTAAAGGAGAATAGAGATCTTTTACTAAAATTAGGTGAGTTTTATAACAGTAATCTTGGTCATTACAAATATGAACATCGGAAACTTTATAATTTACAATTAATTTTGTACCTCCGGCACCAGTAAGTCTAGATGCAGTTTTTTCATAAAATTGTGTAGGAAAAATTCCTTTTTGAATACAATTCATATCAGCACCACTATCAATTAAAGCAGTTAGGTTGATTTTAAAATTATCTTTGACTAAAGTAATTAGAGTGTTCCATTTTTGAGAAACTTGATTATTTATAAGTTTACCAATAGTTATATTTTCAATTTTATTTTCTTCTTCGTTATTAATTTCTATATTTTTGTTTTTAAAAGTAGAAGGTTTTTCCTTTTCTAAAATTAAAATTTTATTTTTTATTTTTTGTTTTACTATTTTTAATTCTTCTTGAAGTTCTTGCATAGAGATTGGTTTTGCTTCAGTAAATCTTTCATATATATATATTAAAATTTTCATTATTAGCAGGAGTTATGCTATTAGTTTTATTAAGCATCTGTTTTATTAATAATTCTTGGATAGTTTTATCTTTTATAGAATCAAGAGAGCTTAAAAGATCTTTATCATCTTGTGAAAGAACATTAATGGAACTACTAGTAATTACATTGATTAAATTATTACAGTGACATTTACCAATACACTCGCAAATATTAAAATCTTCTGAACTTGAAGTAGTATTTTCGAGAATATTTAAATCATTTGTTTGAAAATCAGAAATACTTTCATCGGAATCTGAATCAGTATTTAAAATAATTTTTCTTATTTGTTCTTTCAAATCTTCAGAGACATTCAACTCATTTATTTTTGTCTTAGCATAACAATTATTAGCTGTATGACCATTACGCCCACATTTATGACAAATAATAATATCTTTTGATTTTCTTTTAGATTTTTTATAATTTGGTTTATAAGGTTTTTTAGATTTCGAAGCGTAATCTTTGTCCGTTTTATAATTTTCTGGAAGATTATATTTCTTTTTCCTGAAATATTTTGAAGATCTTTTCTTAAATACTTTAGATTTTGAAGTAGACGGACCATTCAAGGGCTGATAACCGTATTGTTGGCAAAAAATTCCCAATTCATTTTTACTGTTATTTCTATCTTTTTTGAGTTTTTCTTTAAACCTAAGACCAGCACAAACTGCTAATCCCTCTTTATTAATATAGTTTATTAAATCTCCATAAGTTAAATTTTGATAAGGGATGGTATTATTAAAAGTTTCTCTTAATTTTTGTCTAACTCTTTCTGCAAAGAGTTTTGGAAGGTCAGCAATAAAACGTTCTTTACAATCAGGTCTTAAAAAAACTTTAACAAGATAATTATCTTTATACCATCTAAAATCAGTAAGTTTTCTGCAATGTAAATTCATTAAAATTTTTGAAGTTTTTTCTTGAAAAGTAGTAGGATCTCCTATAAAGTTTTTGATAATAGCAAAATTTAAAGTGTTAACCATATCATCTTCAAACGTTTGTATTTGTTGATTATTTTCTTGTTTTATAATAGTTTTCTTAGCAGATAAAATATAATCTTTTTCTTCCTGTGAAATATAAAAATCCCACCAACCTTTAAGACTACCAGTAAAACCAGAAGTAATAATATTAACAATTTAGAGTTGGGTATTATTATGAGCTTTATAAGCATTATCAACCATAGTCATTTCTTGTACAATATTCATAATTTGATGTTCAGAATGGCCATCAATATTCCATTCATAAACAGAATTACCATCATATTGAGAACGATCAAATTGAAAAGTTCGTTCTTCAAGTTGAACATCTGGAAGAGAGGGTCTATCCCAAAAATTTCTTATAGTTGGTTTTGGATTTTTTCCGAAAGTGCTTTGCTTTGATTGATGAATTTTATTAAGATTTGAAAAGTCATTAGTGAGTTGATTAATATCGTCATTTGTATCAAATTGTTGAGCAAGAGTTTCAAAATTTGTTTCACTATTAATATCACTATTTTCAGATTCTTCATTTGTAAGAGTATTAATATTATTAGTGTTTGAGATATGAAGTTTTGAAAGTCTTTTTTCTAATTCGTTAATTAAATCTGTATTTCCTAGATTAAAATTACCATCGATTTGGCAAGGAACAAAACTTAAATTACTAGTTCTTGCCATATCTTGCTTATTAACATTTTTATCTTTGAAAATTTTTTCTTCAATTTTAACTAAATGCTCAGTAATACTAGATAAGGTTTCATTTGCATAATTATTTTGGTAATAATTTTTTGAAGACCCTTTTCAGTAGTTAATTGATTTGGGGCTTGAACTAAAGGAGTTGCAATAAACATATCGTTAATAATAATTTCTCCTTTTGGTGGAAAATTAGCAATAATTTCTTTATTAGAAATAATATCTTTATATTTTTTCTCTAAAATGGGAGTGATAGAATCATTTTTAAATGAGTAATTTATTTTATGTTTAGGGGCATAAATTAATTCAAACCATTGAAAAAAAGAAGAATGAATTTTATTTGATAAAACATAATCTTCCCAAAGGCCTAAATGGAGAAATCTTAAGTAGTATGAAAAATTTTCTTTGTGCCAAGCTCTTTTTTTATTGTTATAATCTTTTTAATACTCAATATCTTTTATGTAATCAAAATCAACTTGATATTCTAAGTTCGAGAAATTCATTTTAACATGTTGTTTTTGTTAGGATTGAAGAAATATGTTTTATTGATTCTAAATTATGACTTCTTGATTTTTCGTATTTTTTTATTCCTATCTTTAGCCTAGAAATTTTTTCTATTCGTTTATTATATTTATTAGTATATGGAGGTATTTTGTATAAATTATAATTTTCATGAGTTCTAGTTTCTTCCAAATGTTGAATGGTTTTGCATATATTAGAATTTATCTCCCAATGCCTTTTTAACATATCAGCCCAAAGCTTATTATTTTGTGAACAAGATTTGTATTTTAGAACTCATAATTGTTGTTTAAAATTTTGAAGTTCATCAATAAAATCTAATTTAGTAGGACTAGGAAGACTATTTTCACTATTTTGATCATCTTGATATAATGGTTTGGGAATAGAATTAGTATAGTCAACAGTTTTTAGTTTTAAAGATCTCGACTTTAATAACGAAGATTTTGAAGAGCCTGTTTCTGGGATAAAAGAAGTTGATAATCTGGATGATGAAATATTTAAGGAAGAAAAATTATATCTACATAACCATCATTATATTCAATAATATTTGAGATTTCTTTTGAAGAGTCTAATGGTTTTGGATCAATAACATTTTGTAAGTTCCAATTACATGATTGAGTTATCTCAGACCATTTTAATCTTTTTGGTGTGTGAACTTTGGTATGGTTAGTATTCGCTTCAAAAATAATTGTTTCATTTCTAGGACTTGATAAACGTGTTTTTGGTTCAAGTGTAGTTGTCATAGTTTTGTAACAAACACGATAAATTATTGCTAAAGGCTTTGTATCATTTTTAAATTCTAAATTTTTTGTTTCTATAGTTAAAACCAAAGTATCTAAAATATTTTTATCAAATAATCCTACAGAGAAATTTGGATAACAATTGAAATAAATAGGTCTGTTAGCAATATTTGTTTCAGCCATAGCTAAAATAGAATTTTGAAAATCTTTATGTCTCTTGTCTCTTAAAATAAAGAGAACAGGGGCATCTATTCCAATTCTAAATAGAGGCTTGATAACAATTTGGACTAAACCGACATGTAAAAATTTATATTTCGTTCTATACTCTAGAATAGATCGTGATGATAACAAATGTAAATTTTGTTGGTTTTGACCAATAGACAAAGTTTGTTCTGTCATTTTAATAGAATAACCTTGAAAATAATCAAAAGTTCTTATTCTATATATTGTATTAATATTAGTTTTAGGTATTGTCCAATTATTCAAACTTTGTTGTATGTTATTAACGGTTTCTTCAATAGAATTTATTTAATTATTATCATTATCTTGTTCATTGTTGATATTTTTACCAGGAATATATTTTTTGGATAGTATGCCTGAAAATTTACTCATATTTAATTAATTTTGCTTTAAAATTCTATAAGAAAACTTACTTGTAATATATTACATAACTACCCAGGAATTTATATGAGGCTTGAGATGGTGGATCAACTCTATATTCGATGCAATGAATCTCAAAATGTTCTCGCCATATCATAGTTCGTGTGTTCCAGATCTAACACGAATGGAACAACATGTTTCATTTTGGTTGTAGATAACGGTTTGTCGGATATATTTTCGACATTATGAGGGTAATGAGATTGACTCTGAAATATCAAAAAGAAGAAAATAAGAAGGAGATCAATAGGGGAGAAGATGCTCAACCGCAATGGAGCCGTTGACTATAGTTTTAGAACGATCCTAGAAAGTACGAAGCTCTACTACCATGAAATCCTCTTTATTTTCCTATGAATCGATACTTCAATAGATAACCTCGATATACACAATATATACAAGATGAAAGAATAATCAGTAAAGGGTCAAAACACTTGGGTCCGACTATAAATAATAATACAAATATATATACAAATAATATGCTAACAGAAGGATGCAATCTACACCCGCCGCCAATAATATGACTGATGTTTTATTTTATCTGATAACCTACAAATGAATAAAAACATAATTTAATATTTTATTTTATTTTATATTAACTATATCTTATTCACTTTCTTCTTTATAAACATACAGTTAGACTCTGCCCACCCAATTTGTTGACCATCCAAATCGTATATGACAGTCTTGTCTTTAACTGCTACTTCTAAATCACCAAATAATATATTACAAGTCAAGAAAAGCGAAAAAAGAAATCTAATTTATAGGGTTTTCATGTTTCCATTGTTAAAATTTATACATCCTAAAATAGTCAATCCTCGCTTCGGGCTCGTCTGAATACCCATACAATATATCTCATACCCATTCTATTGTGTTTTAACAACCAAATTAAGATTCATGTAAATACAAGTTAACTAGGCTACATTTGTTACACATGAATGGACAAGTTATAAAGTCGTAATACATACCATGGAGAATTAGCGTATAAGATAGTCCTGGGTTTAAAGTCCATTGAAGCACCACCAGTAAAATTGAACCGTACTATGGGAAATATGCCGGTATAAAAATAACTGAAAGAACAATAGAAGATAATTATTTTAAAAAAAATATTATCATTTACCATATTGAATGATAAAACACATTACACAGATTATTTTGGATGCAAACCTTGAATTGAATGAATAACAAAAATTTTCACTTGACATAAGTGGCTGTATGAAGTTTGAAGCTGCATGTTTTATCTGCACCAATAAAAGTAACATTTAGATTCACAAACCACTAGTTAAGTTATGGTTTGATGTTGTACTTACAGCATCCACAACGGGGGTGTAAGCCTCTTCAGTAATGTATACCAAAGTTGTTCCGGAATCAATTATTATTCCCGGTTGGTGATCACTTAATGCAAATACAGAATGATCAATTGTCAATGTTTGAACAATGACTGATATGCTTTCCAAATTTACATTGTAATGCCACCTGCATATGTATATGGAAGGATATTAGAAACAGATGGTGCTTCTTTTGATTTAGTATGGTAAAAGATATATACATGTTTCCTTTTAACATAATAAATAAATAAAAAGAAAATAAAAACTTATGCTGATTTGACAAGTGGAGTGAATACTACATTTGCCATGACGGATGTACCAAAAGCCACAATCCCACCACCATCACAACCAGCCAGGCAATGTGAAAAGGAATTGGGTGCAATCCCTTGAGATGAAAGCTGGGAAATCACATACATACTTTGTCTGCCCAATCTCATAATCTCATCAAGTGTTTTGTCAGTTTGACTCAGCCGTCCTGTTTTGGACGGGCTACATCTGTTCATGCATAATTCACTAAATCAACCATGTAATTTAAAGAGGATGAAAGAAGGAAGAGAAATGAAATTCTATAGTTGATGATAAATGAAAACTTACCCAAATAAAACCGAAGTTGAAGTGTTCAAGAAATATGACTTGCCAACAACTATTTTAAAATGCATCAAGTCGAATACATAATAACCTAATGTTCCACAACCATCTCCATAGTGGAGATCATAGGTGCATTGGTTATTTGGACATGAGTTGGATTTTGGAGAACATCTTTCGTCCGAATATAAGATAGGAGAAGATGTGGAGGAGCTTGTAGGATCACAGATAGTAATAGGAATCTGTTCAAAGAAGGAAAAATCATACATATAGTACCAATACTAGTTAATTAAAAAGTCACACTTTATAAGAAATGATCCGAACATACTTGTTGTGTGGATGATGTAGGGAAAGATTGGCAGGGTTTGCAACCTACCCACAACAAGTCGCTTCCTGTATCAAATACTACATAGTATCCTTTTGGGGGGAATCCTAGCTTGATTTTTGTGTAGTACAAGCTACAAGTTAACCAAATTAAAAGATGTTAAGGAATTGAAGAACATGTGATTAAGACCTGGAAAAATTGACTTGTTCACAAAGTCTTTCAAGTATAACTAAAACATATGCAAGAATAGAACAAGTGCAGGTCTTTGTTCATCAAAAACTATAAAGCAAAACGTGAACAAGAATTGAAAAAAACAACTAAGAGATTAATCCAATTTATACTAATCATGAAAGAAACCTAATGCGATACGGTTATTGATAAATAGAATCCTAAACAAATACCAAGAAAACACAAAATCTGGGACAAAAATAGTCAGGGATATTTTGGGAAAAACTGTCATATTTGAAATTCTTGGTATTTGTTTAGGATTCTATTTGTCAATAACCATATTTCATTAGGCTTCTTTCATGATTAGTATAAATTGGATTAATCTCTTAGTTGTTTTTTCAATTCTAGTTCATGTTTTGCTTTATAGGTTTTTTTTTTAAAAAAGACCTGCACTTGTTCTATTCTTGAATATGTTTTAGTTATACTTGAAAGACTTTGTGAACAAGTCAATTTTTCCAGTTCTTAGTCACCTGTTCTTCAATTCCTTAACATCGTGTAATTTGGTTAACTTGTAGCTTGTACTACACAAAAATCAAGCTAGGATTCCCCCCAAAAGAATACTATGTAGTATTTGATAAAGGAAGCGACTTGTTATGGGTAGGTTGCAAACCCTTCCAATCTTGCCCTACATCATCCACACAACAAGTATGTTCTGATCATTTCTTATAAAGTGTGACTTTTTAATTAACTAGTATTGGTACTATATGTATGATTTTTCTTTCTTTGAACAGATTCCTATTACTATCTATGATCCTACAAGCTCCTTTACATCTTCTCCTATCTTATATTCAGACGAAAGATGTTCTCCAAAATCCAACTCATGTCCAAATAACCAATGCACCTATGATCTCCACTATGGAGATGGTAGTGGAACATTAGGTTATTATGTATTCGACTTGATGCATTTTAAAATAGTTGTTGGCAAGTCATATTTCTTGAACACTTCAGCTTCGGTTTTATTTGGCTAAGTTCTCATTTATCATCAACTATAGAATTTCATTTCTCTTCCTTCTTTCATTCTCTTTAAATAAGATGGTTGATTTAGTGAATTATGCATGAACAGATGTAGCCCGTCCAAAACAAGACGGCTGAGTCAAACTGACAAAACAGTTGATGAGATTATGGGATTGGGCAGACAAAGTATGTATGTGATTTCCTAGCTTTCATCTCAAGGGATTGCACCCAATTCCTTTTCACATTGCCTGGCTGGTGGTGATGGAGGTAGGATTCTGGCTTTTGGTACACCCGTCATGCCAGATGTAGTATTCACTCCACTTGTCAAATTAGCGTAAGTTTTTATTTTCTTTTTATTTATTTATTATATTAAAAGGAAACATGTATATATCTTTTACCATGCTAAATCAAAAGAAGCACCTTCTGTTTCTAATTTCCTTCCATATACATTTGCAGGTGGCATTACAATGTAAATTTGGAAAGCATATCAATCATTGTTCAAACATTGACAATTGATCATTCTGTATTTGCATTAAGTGATCACCAACCGGGAATAATAATTGATTCCGGAACAACTTTGGTTTACATTACTGAAGAGGCTTACACCCCCGTTGTGGATGTTGTAAGTACAACATCAAACCATAACTTAACTAGTGGTTTGTTAATCTAAATGTTACTTTTACTGGTGCAGATAAAACATGCAGCTTCAAACTTCATACAGCCACTTATGTCAAGTGAAAATTTTTGTTATTGATTCAATTCAAGGTTTGCGTCCAAAATAATCTGTGTACTGTGTTTTATCATTCGATATGGTAAATGATAATATTTTTTTTAAATAATTATCTTCTATTGTTCTTTCAGTTATTTTTATACCGGTATATTTCCCATAGTACGGTTCAATTTTGCTGGTGGAGCTTCAATGCACTTTAAACCCAGGACTATCTTATACGCCAATTCTCCACGGTATGTATTACGACTTTATAACTTGTCCATTCCTGTGTAACAAATGTAGCCTAATTAAATTGTATTTACATGACTCTTAATTTGGTTGTTAAAGCACAATAGAATGGGTCTGAGATATATTGTATGGGTATTCAGACGAGCCTGAAGCGAGGATTGACTATTTTAGGATGTATGAATTTTAACAATGGAAACATGAAAACCCTATAAATTAGATTTATTTTTTCGCTTTTCTTGACTTTTAATATTTTATTTGGTGATTTAGAACTAGCAGTTAAAGACAAGACTGTCATATACGATTTGAATGGTCAACAAATCGGGTGGGCAGAGTCTAACTGTATGTTTATAAAGAAGAAAGTGAATAAGTTATAGTTAATATAAAATAAAATAAAATATTAAATTATGTTTTTATTCATTTGCAAGTTATCAAATAAAATAAAACATCGGTCATATTATTGGCGGCGGATGTAGATTGCATCCTTATGTTAGCAGATTATTTGTATATATATTTGTATTATTATTTATAGTCGAACCCAAGTGTTTGACCCTTTATTGATTATTTTTTCATCTTGTATATATTGTGTATATCAAGGGTATCTATTGATGTATCGATCCATAGGAAAATAAAGAGGATTTCATGGTAGTAGAGCTTCCTATTTTCTAGGATCCTTCTAAAACTGTAGTCAACGGCTCAATTGCGGTTGATAATCTTCTCCCCTATTGATCTCCTTATTTTCTTCTTTTTGATATTTTACTCTCAATCTCATTACCCTCATAATGTCGAAAATATATCCGACAAACCCATATCTACAACCAAGATAAAACATGTTGTTCCATTCGTGTTAGATCTCGAACTATGATATATGTCGAGAACATTTTGAGATTCATTTCATCGAATATAGAGTTGATCACCATCTCAAACCTCATATAAATTCCTAGGTAGTTATGTAATATATATATATATATATATATATATATATATATATATATATATATATATATATATACCTTAATAAGTATTTACCATGTTTTGCTGAATTTTAAGAGGTATAAGACTTTATGCAATATTTACAATGAATTTATGAATGTAGAAAAATAAGATATTATCCATCTACGGTTGAAAAATTCTAGATAAGAGTTGACCGATTCAAATTTTAGCAAGTATTCCTAACCTTCAGCCAACATTTATGAATCCGTCAAAATTGAACCTAACAATCCCTCAATTTCAGTCGATTGAATTGGTGCGTTACATGTGTAAACTATTTATGCAATAATATATTGATGACAACACCTAAGGCCGTAAGAAATCGAATGAACACGAATGGTGGTTGTTTATGTTCGATTGTTTATTAAATAAATGAACATAAACAAACTTTCCGTCGAGCGGTTCACGAACAACCTTTGAATGTTATGTTCGTTAAAATCGCCTCTACAACTAATTTCTGAATGAAAGTATTCGCACCCGTCGCTTAGCGCGGGTAAACGGCTAGTGTGTGGGTGTATATATATATATATATATATATATATATATATATATATATATATATATTGTAAAAACCTCGTTAGTCGGTTTGTATCAAGTCTTTTGTAATAAGACCATCTATGTAAAATATGTTTATGAATATGCATGTAGCATGTTTGGAGTAATAATGTTATGTATGAAAGGGGTCTTTCATACTATCACCTAATCAATGTGTCGGTTAGCCACACACCCTCCATTGATCTATGACAAACATCGAGTTACCCTTTGCCACCCTGACAGACCCAAATTAGTGTGTCGGTTAACCACACACGCTCCACTAACGTCTCGGTAAGGTGCAAAGTGTAATTTCATCGATTAGCATCTATTTCACATTTTACCTAAAGTAACTAAGATTGGGAATTTATAAAACTTTTAGTTACTTTATAGATCATTATACTTATTAATGAGGAATTAGTTGCTCTATCCTACCCGTTCGGCTAACGACCCTCCACTAGTCAAGAGTACAGTGGGTAAGAGTGGATACCCAATGACGGTCATTTTATAGGCCACTTCATTAAACACCCTTATAGAACACCTTCGTGAATGAGGCCTAGTAACGGTAAAACTAGCTTATTTTATACATATATATATATATATATATATATATATATATATATATATATTATTAATCTTATAATACAATAATAGTATAAGGGTGTATTTTAAACATTTCAAAATACTAGGGTTTTAATCAAATTTAAAATTTTCGAAAATAAATACATTTTAGTTTTAAAATCTTAAATATTAAACTTTTGATTTATTAATTATCCAAAATTAAACAATTAATTTAAATTATTAAATCTTGAAGGATTATCCATTAAATTTAAACAATTAATTTAACCTAATCTCTTTATCCCCTAAATTCGAAAATTTGGGATGGGATAATTCAAAATCATTAATTATCTATTTAAACAATTAAAAGGATAATTACAAAAGTTGGCATTATCCTAATCCCTAAAATCTTGGAATCTAATCTTAGGGATAAGGCATTTTCGAAAACCCTAAGGTTAGATAACCCTAAAATCGAAAATTTGATGCCAAAGGAAAGGGTTCAAGAAACCCTAACAAAATTCTAAAACTAGGGTTTTTTAACCCTAATTTCGAAAATCCAAGCCCTAGGGTTTATTTGCTATAAACCATAATTTGTCAAGTACATACTTTTGTATCAAATCCTATTGAAAACAAAAGCGAAAGGCTCTGATACCAGTGTTGGGTTTTATACAAACAATCCTATGTGTGCATGCAACCCTAGATTTGGATCTATGTTTTCACTATTAGACATACAACAAATAAACACACAATGAAACCCTAGCATGCATCTAATATTTCTAAAATTACAAACATAAGTGATTAGAATACATACCTTTGTTGCTATATAGCAATAATAACTAAATCTTGAAGTTCCTTTGCTCTTGAGAACAAGTACCACAAATGTAGTACCTCTAATGGCTCAAAAACACACAAGAGTGAAAGGATGAATATGAGAGAGAGGAGAGAATGTAACTTGCTCTAGAAATCGTCTCTTCTATAGTCGTAGTACCCTTTTAACTAGGCGCTTGATTGAAACTGACCGACTAGTTGATGAGATTTTTTGATTTTCTCAACACAGTTTATCTATAATTTCCCAACTTTCCTCACAAGGGCTTGCACCTAATGCATCCTCTTATTATCTTGCTGATGGAGGTCAGCTTTTGAGTCTTGGTCAACCAATGGTGTCAGATATGGTCTTTACTCCACTTGTCAAGTCATGGTAATTTGTTTTTTACCATATTAAGTCAAAAGAAACATAATTTTCTAATTTCCTTCCATTATGTTTACAAGGGGATTTATAATATAAATTTGGAGAGTGTTGCGGTAGGAGATGATATAGATTCCAAAAGTAAGCAATAGGTGGGAAAAGACTTGAGAATAGAGTTGCAGGACTGACACGTGGATTGAAGGGGGTTTAATACGGGGACATGTGCTGGTTTAGGAGTCGTTTATTAGAAATATATATATATATATATATATATATATATATATATATATATATATATATATGGGGTCCGGTTCCTGTGAGGACTAAAAAATTGGTGAGGACTGTGAGAACAGTTCACCACCACCCATTTCGTCAAGGGCTAACCCAATATTTGGACATGGTGCGTTCGCATGCGGCCTACGTCCGTGGTAAAAAACTACGGACTCGACGATTTAATCATATGCGGCAAACATCCATGAAACGTCATTTAAGTGGGTTTTATTACTTATTTTCAGTTATTTTGGTTTTTCCGTTTTTTTATTATTTTTTTCATTAAAAAAATTTTAAAGAAATTACACGGATATATGCTTGGTTTTAGCGTTTTTTTATTTATTTTCTGTTTTTTTATTTATTTATTTTTTAATTATGTTTTTGTATTTTTTTCGTTGTTTTTTCATATCTTTACTACATATTTGAAGATACTAGTGTTTTCTTTTTTTTGCTTTTTATTTTTATTTTCTTATTTTTTTATTTTTTGAACTAAATATCGGTTTAATTTTTTAATGTTTAACACTTATAAAATTTTAAATAAGAAGAATATTAAGGATCATAATATTTTCCGCTCATATTTTTTTTAATCATATTATTTTTGGATCATATAATTTTGAATCATATGATTTTGGATGAATAATATATTCAAGTAAATATAATTTTTGTTCAAAAAATTTATGGATCATCATATATTTTGAATCATTTAATTTTGAATCATAAAAGATATAATTAAGAATTCTAAAATATTTAACTATAAATAATATTAAATCATAACAAGCTAAGGACCATAAACATGTTTAATCAAAAGGTGTTTTTTTTTTTTTTTTTTTTTTTTTTTTTTTTTTTTTTTTTTTTTCGGAATCATAAGTATTTTGAATCAACACATTTTAGATCACATTATGTTCAACATTTAAAAAAAAAACAAATAGTTTTTAAATTTAAAAAAAAAATACTTCAAAAACTTATTTTGAAAAATTTTTCTTATAAAGTTACTAGTATATTAAGTAGAAGTATCCCTAAACTTTTATGATTTTGAAGAAATTTTTTTTTCTGGGAATTTTATTTAAAAAAAATCAAATTTTCATGATTGTGCCAATTTTATAGAAAATTAAATTTTAAGAACTTTTTTTTTTTTTTTTTTTTTTTTAAGATGGCTTGACATGTGGCATAAAGAGAAAATAGGAGGGTGTGAGGTAGGGCGGAAATGCACATTCGGGAGGAGTTGTTTTTTTCTTTTTTTTTTTCCTCTCTCCTTTTACCCATTTAACCTCCAAACTATTAACCTTTGCTGTGAAATGTTAAAATCTCGCACATAATTACAAAAACTGTCATATCATCTCGCGAGATATTGACGATAAATAAAATCAAATATCCACATTTTATTTTTTTTCATTCATACCGCAAAGATTTGTCATGGGAGTCCTCACTTATTTTTGAGTCCTCACTTATATATATATATATATATATATATATATATATATATATATATATATATATATAGAGAGAGAGAGAGAGAGAGAGAGAGAGGGGGAGGGAGAGAGTGGATGAGAACTCAATTGTGTTCACGGAGAAATGTTTTAGTTTAATTTGATGAGATTTTCAAATGTATTTCAACATAATCACTTGGAGGAGTATATATCTCCCTGAGATCTGCTGATCTTGGTAAAATGTTTGTGAGGTTATAAGATTTCCTACTAAAGAATTTTATCATTACATTAAGAGATGAAATAAAAAATATGAAATATATATAAAAATTTATATTTTTTTAGAATTTCATTAGTATTAGAGCCGAAAATTAATAAAAATGCACAGGGCCGCTCTGCATATATTCATTTATAAAAATATGTTAATAAACTAACATAAGTTCATAAACAAATATAAGTTCATATTTACTATAAGCACTATGAAATTTATTTATGAACATATCATCAAATCGTGTATGAAACCATATTCCTAGTAAGATCATTTACATTAACATAAACATTAAAGAAAGGCATCTCATTGAATATTGATTGATGAAGAAAAAGGAAGAGTGGTAATATAATGGAGTTTACCTGAAGTGGAAAATGACCATAATGCCCAGCAATGGAAGCCCTTGACTGAGGTGAAAGAGATACAATTACATTTTTTCCATTGTTTATATTAGATAGAAACTCATCCAATCTTTGCTTCTCTAGCATATAATAGTCTCCTCATAAGTAATACATCATCTGCATGATTACAACAATATTACAAATTCAATTCATCACTTGATGTATAATGGCTTCTAGCAAATCTTTGAGTGATATTTTTACTGGATTTGTATGCAGAGGGTGAAAAAAAAGGTAAAGTAAAGGAAAAGCAGCAATACAGTTTTCTTTATTAAAGAAAAGAAAGCAAACAAGAAACAGCTTCAAGATCCCCCATTTCTTCAACAGCTTTTTGGTTGCTTGAAAGCATCGCAAGAATGGCTTTATTTTCATGGGTGATACTTGAATTAAAGATAGCAGACGCAACATCTTTCATTGCTAATGGATGCCCTTCTTCCAAAAGATCAATAAGTGGTTTCAAAGCACCTGTTTTTCCAATTAACGACTTATTGGAGTCGAGAGTTGATAAAGGGCCTATCGTATGTCTGCAAATTATCACCAAAATGATCAGAATTCAGTAAATTAGCAGAGCTAAATCATGTATATGAAAGTTCATATTCTTCAAATTGATAAACCCATGGAATTTAGTCGAATTTCAGTGTAATAAGAATGTTATCATAAAACAGACATTAATCAACACGTCCACGGCAAGAAATCCTTCAACGGAAGAGAGAAATTGAATAGAAAAAACTACCTGACCAGTAGAGAGGATAACAAGAAGCCCAAACCGACGTCGAACTTTCATTGTTATTACGATTATTATCATTGAGTCGTTTAATCGAAGACGATCGTTGTTTCCCTCCTCCCTCTTTCGATTCTTTCAAAGCTTGCAAAGTCTGATTCGCTCTCTCGAAACATCCAAATCCATTTTCATCCTCCGATGATGAATCTTCAATAATCGCTTTCACAAGTCTATTCAATTCCTTCTTCAACTCTGTCATAACCTTCGCCACCGCCACGCTCTGATCCCCTTCAAACACCTCACTTTTCGCCATCAAATTACATAAACGTGTCTAGATTCGAATTTCAAAGGTAATCACCGGTGGAAGATGATTATTATGTTGTGGGTGCAGTTGCCAAGAAAGAGTTACACACAGTACAACATACTATATGCGTGCTTCTTTTTATACGAATCTCTCACTCCAGAATTCAGAAGCATATGAAGGTGTTTTAGAGAGAGAAAGAATGATGATGGAGAGTAGAGAGATATAGGAGTTACATGTTTACAGGGGAGTGTTGTGTAAGATTAAGAAATTTATAATATTGCCTCCTGTAACTTATAAATACTACAAAACAGTCCACTTTTCAAAATATGTTTTTGTTTTAAGTCTTAACAATAGTATCAAAGAGTAAGGCTCTGTTTGATTTCTTACTGATTGGGTATGGTCAGACTCTTTGGCTGACTAGGTCCGGTCAGGATGTTTGATAACAACACTCAAAGCCTCTTATCAGGTCCATACTTCTGATTCGGTCATTGAAAATCATCTAATTCGGTCAATAAGAAAAATATAGTCGACTGAGACAAATACCCTCCATTCCCTTTTCTCTCCTTATAACGTCCACATCCCCTTTTCTCTCATTCTCAGGTATGGTCGTAGCTCATCCCACCTCCAACATTTCTCTTGGGCCAGGGAGGCCATGGATTTAGTAGATTAAAAAAATGAACAAGTTGATGAAGCCGGAAACATAAAATGATAAATCATAATATAATTTAACAGAAGATCAATGTAACACCCAGAATCAGAAAGACCAAGAAAGGAAAGAAAAACCCTAAGTAAAAGGGGTCAACTCGTCGAGTCCATGGGTGAACTCGGCGAGTTGGAACGGGACCCGTGTCGGGGTTTAAGTGACTGACTCGGCGAGTCGGAGGGACCGACTAGGCGAGTCAGGTCTGGGTTGGAAAACCCTAATTTTCCGGGCTTAGTGCCCTATTTAAGCATCATTTCAGGCCTTCACCCCAGCCTCCATCACTCCCTCTACCTTCACTCGAAACCCTAAGCAGCCATTGAGTGTCAGTGAGCTTCTCTTGCCATTTTTTTTGAGTGATTTAAAGCTTTAAGGAAGAAGGAAGACTTTGGGTGATTCAAGAAGTAGTAGTGGACTCTATGTTGGCGTGTCATTTCAGATCCTAGAAAGGTATGAAGTTCATACCTTGGCTGTTATTCATTTAGATCCCCTTTCCTAGTTAGATTTTGTCATTTTGGGCCATTTCCAAAGCCAATTCGTGTATTGTGCCTTTGTGAGCAAAGAGAACTTCGGATCTAGGGTTGTCTTGGCCTAGAAACCCATAAAGCAGCAGTCTTTGGTGGGTTAGTGAAGCATGCTTGTCACAAAATGTGACAACCGTCAATATTCGAGTTAGTTCTAGATTTGAATAAACTTAGTTGCACATATAGGCACGACACATACTAGACTTAGTGACTAGAAGCTAAGCTATAACCTACTAGAAACTTGGAAACAATTAGAATCGAAGGATGGTGTACTTAGATTCTGTAACGACCCAAAATTCAAGACCAAAAATTTCTTTTAATAAAACATTACTTTAAGCAAGGACATCATTCCAAAACATAATCTGAGTATAAGTTTTCAAAACACGTGTTCATTATCAGAGTAAACATTCCCAGGCTGTCTAATCTATGGTGTGTGCCATGCGATCACCCCGAGCTCTTCCCTCCGCTACCGGAAGTACCTGAAACCAAAACAGAAAACCGTAAGCACAAAGCTTAGTGAGTTCCCCACCCTACCACATACCATGCATAACACATACTGCACATACTGGGCCACGCCTGCTACCTCGGGCCTCGCCCGATACAACGACCCCGCCACTCCAGGCCCCGCCTAGCTTCGAGCCCCGCTCGGATACAGATCTGTTTCACTTAGGCCTTGCCTGTCACAGGGCCTCGCCCGCTAACTTATAATAGCACATATTCATACTGCAAAACATAAGCTAAACATATACAATGGATCATGTCCTAAGGCCTCGCCTATCCTAGGCCTCGCCCTTGTCCTGCTACTGACGAGACATGGAACCCCGCCTATGCTCCTACTGATAGTGAGATACGGGCCCAGCCCACACTCACTCTTTCCCTAACTTGGGCCTTGCCCCTACTCTGCTGCTAATGAGATGTGGAACACCATCCACACTCTGCTGCTAATGAGATGTGGAACACCATCCACACTCTGCTATTGGTGAGATACGGGACCTCGCCCACACTCACCTCCCTACCAAGCACATACACGTATCACACAGACAACAAGTATAAATTATCATATAAACAAATCCTTGGGCACCCGCCCGCTATCATTGGACCTCGTCCTGAATATCATACTAGCATACTGTGTCTAGGGCTAACCCCCGGGTCTTCTACTCATAGCTACATGGGCCGGCATTATGGCCTTAGACCCATTCACACAAAGGGAAACTCACCTGCACTGGCTGAACTTGCTGATGATCCCACTAGCTGCTGCCCGACCACTCACTGAACTCCTGCTCTACTAGCTTCCCGAGCTATCAATATCAATGCAACACTTAATCTAACTGACCACCGACAGTTAACCAAGTCAATTCTGGTCTAAGTCAAAGTCCTGGTCAAAGTCAACCTTTCCAGATCAACCCTACTCGTCGAGTCCACTTACTGACTCGCCGAGTTCATATACTCAGGGTCCTTCCATTCGCGACATGACTCGCCGAGTCCAACGATTTCCGAGTCCTAACCTGTCCAACTCGCTGAGTCTCCACCCGACTCACTGATTCGAGTCTCAACTCGAAGGGTTTGGGGCTTCGCGACCTGACTCGCCGAGTCCAAGAACAGACTCGCCGAGTACCAGACAATCTTTATCTAACTCGCCGAGTTCATGCCCAGCTTCATCCCACTCGACGATCTGTTCATCCCACTCGTCGAGTTCCTCCTCATCTTCATGCTACTCGCCGAGTCCACTCAAAGGACTCGCCGAGTCCACTTTGTGACAACCCAAGTTGTTCCGTTACATTTCCCCGTTACCGTTAACGGAATATTCCAGATTATAAAAGTTCTGTTAATTAAAGGTCGTCAACTTAATAAACATTCCATTTGTTTACATTAAATGTGTCGTTAAGTCGTGATTAAAGGAAATAAAAACACATAACACACATTTCCATTTATTTCGAAAATGTTAAGTTTTATTATTACGACCACTAAATCGAGTGCGACCAAAAGCCCCGTTTAACGGCAGTATCGGGTAAAATTCCACTGAGCCCCGACTCGAAACCCTATATAAAGGTGAGTGGAGTCCATTGGAGACTTTTTACACTCTCTCTCTATACTCTCTCTCTAGACCCGTTTTCGCCCCAAATCCACAACCAAACGCTTCCAAATCGTAAGTCCGCTTACCCTAGCTTGTTCTAAACATATTGATTCGTGTTTATAGCTTAAAAATCGTACTTAGAAGTTAAGGAAGAGGAGTTTACGGCCTAAGCTCCTCAGGCCGTAAACCCCTTAAACTAGGCCAAATGACCCAAACTTGTCCCTAATGGCTTGGAAATAAATTAAGGGATTTGCCTAGGAGTGTTTAAACATTAAAACACATGGTTTTAGGGGGTAAAAGATAGTTTACGGCCCAGGCATATGACAAGGCCGTAAACACCTCTTAAGTATGTCAAAAAGCCCCAAAAACACTCCTAAAACACCTTTAGGCTTCATACATAATTTAGGGACTTAGTATTTGGGGTTTAGCACAATTAAACACAATGAAATGAAGGCACAACAGGAGTTTACGGCCCAAACATGTGTCAAGGCCGTAAACCCCCTCAAACATGCCTAAATGTTGGTTTTTATTCCCTAAAAGGCCTTAGACTATTTCTATAAAATGCTAGGAGGGTATTAGGGGCTTGAAACTTCACTTAACTCAAGGCATAGGAGTTTACGGCTGTAAACTCCCTTAGGAGTTGTCCCTGGGCCGTAAACTCCCTAATAGAGCCCTTAAAGACCCTAAAACCACTCATGCCTTTTGGATTTGGACTTAGAATAATTCCAGGAACAAGCTAGAAGCCTTAAACACACTAGAACCCTTCACCATGAGTTTACGGCCGTAAACTCATGGTGAGTAGTCCCTGGGCCATAAACTAAGAGATAAGGGTTTACTCTTGGAGAGTAAACTCCATTAATAAGCCCTACACACCTTTAGAGGCTACCCGGGACACCCAAACACTTACCTAAAGTGTTTTCCGCTCCTTTGAGTGCGTATATTTGTTTAATTAGTATTAAATATACTAATTGTATGTGAACATATGTTAAATAGGTCATTGAGTGTGTTCGAGTCTTTACGTGACAACGAACACCCAACCGGCACCTTCGTCGGACCTACTTTCACCAGGTGAGTTCATACCCCTGAATGAACCTTTTAAATGTTTTTACATGTTTTATAGGGGGACTACAAGTTAAACATTCCAGTTATCATATCAATCACATGTGATTGATAACCCGCATGCACAAGATTTTACCACACTATACACTGTTTTACCGAGTAGGACACTATAATGGCTTTCAATTGTTTCAAAACTCTTACTTATACTGTTTTATCAAATTTCATTCTAAACTAGTTTATGAAAGATTTCCAAAAATTTTCAAACATATTTTACACAAGAACACAAATTATGATTTTCCCGAGAATAAAGGTTTTTCATCAAAGTTCCCTTTCACGACGTATACTTTTACTTGTTAGATACCACTACTTTGCTTTCATGTATTTTAAATTCCTACTCGATAACGCTTTCACTTCGTGATGTGTTTATACATGTTATTGTCTCTATATCACTTATACCTGTTATTGTCTCTATTTCACTTATACTTGTAGTCGCTTATACCTGATAGACGCTCTTACTTCACTTATTGTCGTCTCTACTTCGTGATACGCTTATACTTGTTCGACACTCCTACTTCACTTGCGACCGCTCCTACTTCACTTGTTTGACACTCCTACTTCACAAGAATCACTTCTACTTGATACACATTCAGTCGTAGTTAGATGTATGTCTGTGCTTATATAGGTACATATAAGTAATGATTGAAAGACTTAGGAAGGCTCGTCCTCCCTATTTCCTTTTCTTCGTTGAGATGTGGTCTGGTGGGATCGGATGGCCGTCTGAAGGTCGTTTTATTCATTAGATATATATTATGTATATGAGTATAGACATTCAGGAATTCTCTAGTCAGTTCAGTTATGAGTCTCTACCTCTAGTCTACACTTACATTAGAAACACACTACCCACTATTTGGAAGTCTCTACCTCTAGTTCAGCACTTACATTAGAAACCCACTATTTGGAAGTCTCTACCCACTATTTGGGATGCATCTTCAGGACACGGCCTTCTC